GCAGCGCGAGCATTGTCTGAGGTCTAACTACACTGACCAGTCGGAAAACCAAAAGGCCTGAGAGACTTTTCTTTTAGAGTCTGTTTGCGCAGTAACCTACGTGCAACGTTGAGCAATTAGAGACCATCACTAGAGGAAGGACATGGCTGCAAATGTGGTGTTACTTGTGTCACGCGTGTGAGGCAGAGCCATGGTCCCGTAAACAATCTGACTGAGCTGTATGACCTCCCTGTGGATCGGATCTTCTAGCGGTTAAAGTAGTGGACCCTTGTTTTCGCAGCAAGGGTTTGGATTCTTGGACTTCCAATTCTTCAGCACTTCGTAGTCTCTATATTCTTGTGTTCGTGTACGTCTATGTATGGACATAATTCGAATAGATATCACATTGTATGCACACAGTGATGCATCATGAGTAGTGTTTACAACGGTTACAACCAACATATCCAAGATATCCAAGAAAATTAATGCTTGAGTCGAATCCGTAGAGCTTAATCAGTGCCCTCATCATGTAAACCTTACTTTCGACTTCGGTACCACCTATAACTAATTTGGCGTCTCTGCTGTCTCACAGTTCAATACCATAAGGTCTCGAATAAGGTCGGTGCCCAAAAATAGTTGTCAAGATTGTAGTCAGGACCATTGACCAATCAAAGGACTTTTCAAAATGTAGCACATTTCTTTTGTCCTCACGCACAATGAAGAAGTTTGTCAGCAGCTTGAAACGAGCTTTCTGTTTTGTCGGTGGGGGGGGGGGACGGCAGCATTTTTAAGCGTGTTCCGTCGGTGTCGAGAAAGACCCATGCTGCTTGTCCACGGAGCTAGAGGTCACCCAGGCGTACGCCATGCATTTAAGGCACTTGAGCTCTGTTTCGTTGTAGTTGCTTTATGTTGTTGACGATGTAAGACGCCGTCCACTAATCCCGCTAAAAGTCTAGTTCAATTCGACAATAGGTACAAATGTCTGCGTGGGGAAGCCCTCGAGGCAATTTTGTAGAGGTCTTAAATCAGAAAACAGACCGGAGGGAGAGTACCTCACCATTACGTGGAATTCTAGACCCTATAAGGCTGGCTTTACACGAGGGATCCTGAATGACGAATGGTCCTGTTTGGTTCAACAACCTGCTTCCTATCGGTTTCGAGGATCGGACTGGGTTACGGTAAGTGATCTTCCTCGTGGGTGATGAGGGTGACGAAACGCTGACAAAAAAACGATTACTCACAAGCGAGCAACTGACCCACGAAGTATGTGGCTGTACACAGTAGCTATGAGGCATTCATGGACGCACAGAAATTGTCAACATGGCGGTTAACTTCCGGAATGCTCGAGTAGTTCCAAGGAGATATTACCGTGCGGAAGTTTTATTACTCAGACTAGTCGAATCAATCGTCATCAACAATCGACCAATCAGTTATTGGTAATTCATTCAGATTAGTGCATGTAAAGAAGATGTAACACCATCATCGTTACGGTCGTCCTTTTTAGGAACTGCCGTCATATTTTTCATGAAATGGTCACAACGCAATGGCGTGACCTGGTTGGGCCCCCTCCGCTCTGGTGCATTTCCCACCGACCATATCCTGGAATTTTCCCCAATGATCACTTTTGCGGAGTTTTTTGCCGGATTTCTCCAGTTTGTCGCCAAAAAACTGCTAGTGAGCGAGCAGGTGGGGCTGGAGGATAAGGGGGACGAGGTGTAGAGCGCACGAATTCTTCCCAAAGACGGACTTACCCTGGCAAGGATGGTTCAGCAGTCTTTCTCATCAGCGTTTTTCATTTCTTTCATGATCTATGTAGCCCTGATACCGCCCCATATAAATGTCGTTTGTTCCGATCCGCGTAACAGCACTAATTCACCGAAAAAAGAAATTCAAAACAAAGTTGTAGAAGAAATGCGAATGTGAATGTGCAATTTCTTCGGCTCACTACAGCCAGACAACTTCGTCTGAAGTGAAATCCTCTAACTTCGATTGGTGTTCACGACGAGTGGGTGGGATAAGATGACGAAGGGTTAGTGATCATAATTGCTTTCATGATGAAGATTGTCGTCCCGGATCGAATTACCCTGAAAACCACTTTTGTTCTGTGATCAGTTACATTTGCATTTACACTATACCATCCTAATGTGTAAATACGGTATCGTATTGCTATCCTTCACTTCTGTTATCACATTTGTGTACTTGCACAATTTTATTGATAGCAGCGGACATATCACCTTCTGGGGGGTCTAGGGGTCTTGACATGACACCATTCGAAAATACGTGTTGTATTTTTCTTCATCAATATCATGAAAAACCCAAGAATGTGTCGTCCTAACAAGACGACCGTAGAAGATCGGCTCCTGAAACATTCGTAATTTTTTTTAATTGTAGCATCTAATGGGCTGTTTGTTATTGTGTTACGAATTCCAGATTCGCATACCCAGAACGTTATTGTGAAACTTTTCGGTATAAACTATATACTCAACCGTTTCAAGTTTCAGGACCCACTGTTTCGCCTGGCCGTTGGTCTTCGTAGTCTTCTTAAAGTAGTAGACCGGAGTCTCGTCACTCTGGAAAGGCGAGTATCTGTTTCTTGAAATTAGTGGTCTGATCAGAACGCACTGCTATTTAAATAATAGTAACTTACAGGGAATACTTCACCTCTGAGGCCATAGGTTATCGCCCACTTTTGGTCTTTGTCGAAGCCTTCTCCAAAAGTCGTACGAACAAGTTCACCACCTCTACACACTCTATCGCGTTCCTTGGATTGTGAAAACACAGAGGATTGTTGAGATGAGCACCCTAATAATCAACGTCCTCATGATGCAGATTCAAGTTTGAATCGAAATATGAAGAACAATGAGAAGTGAATGTGAAACGACTGACGAATGATCGTACTTTAAATATGCGTTATAATTACAGCGAAATAACCTTTTCAATAGAATTTTCATAATAAAACAATCAGTAGAACCTGGTGACATACCGCAGAACCTGTGCGAAAATTGAACAGCTATGTTTACTCTGTTCTACTGTGATACTTTTGACAACTGATTTATCGAGGACGAGACGTTCCTCAGCCTACTTTTTTCCTTTTGCAACATGGTCTGCTGCCGCACTGCCACAAATTCTCTAGATTGAACCTCTCGCCGCTAATAAATCGCACTCTCTCTGCTTCTGCCACATGAGTTTGTTAGACGAGTTTTCACTTGGCAGAATGCTTCAATCTTTCCTATATTCCAAAGGACCGCAAGGGGACCTCATAACTCGCAATTTATTCAAAAACGATATTTCTTCTTCCTATCAATAGCCATGCCCTGTTATGAGTACCTGGAAAAGATAAGATCTTCTCCTTCATCTAGTCTCTTTTTTGGTTTATATCAGCATTCTATTTGTATTCGGAATCGTAGTGGGTGATTGGACGCGTTGAGGCCCACACAGTGGCTTGACGGGGTTACCCGATGAAGGTTACATACAGTGGCAAAAGAAAACTTGAAGCAAATGAAAAGCACGTGTTACTCAACAGTTTCTTTTTTTCAGAAACTCTGTTTTAGCAGAGCCTGAAAGAGCTATTAATTGGAAATAGCTGATGGAAGCAGTTGTTTCGATAGAGTGGCGAAGAATATAGTCATAGGGCAAGCCGCCTCCATAGAATTTTGGAGACTCTGGAAACAACCGTAATCATGGAACTAAAGGGGGTGAAGGCAAAAGCCAAGTGAGGCCAATTCGTGACTGCTGACCGTGTCGCCACGTACGAGCATGTCGTAGCACTGTGATGGTAGTTAGAACAGCGCAAATTTTGGCACTATTCAACTATTACTACCCCAGTTTTGCGAAAACAGGCCGGATCTTGATCGACTTTTTTCTACGGGGGTGGATTTGGCTGAAAGTTGGGTTCTAGGGGTAATTCGACCTCCTGAACACGAATATCACATCCACTTGGCCTGAAACTTTCTCCGCTCGTTTCTATTTGACACGTTCTCTTTTCTTCTTTATTAGCCTAGACTGGGTTGCATTCTTCATTACCCAGTGGTTATACCGTCAGTGTCATGTTTACCCTTGTACCGTAGCTCGCATTAAAGTGGCTTTGAGTTAATAGTAGTAGAGGCGATAATGGATGAGCCTACCACCGTGGCATCGTTAACGTTTCCTCACTAGGATCCTCCCCTAAGAAGGTACATATGAATAAGTTCAAAAAGTGTCAGTCATTGAAAGGTAGAACATTAACAACACATCCGCTTCCCAAAGCGGTGCAGGACATTCTTATCCTATTGTCAGGCTGAGGACTACTTTTTTTTCCTGGGCATGCGCGGCCCAGTGCGATCACCTAAGACAGAGACGTGCGTATTAACATAAAGCAGCCATTTCGGAAAACGTTTTTACTGTTCACTGGCTGCTTCCCTCTAACAATGCCTTAGCGATAGATGACGACTGAGACCAGGTATTACCCTATGTTAATCCCTTTTCATCTTCTTTTTGCCATAAGCTGGTAGAGCTCACAGTTTAGTAGCCTACGATATGTTCAGACCATGATCGAGCCGAGTCAGTAAGAGGGATCCATTTAAGAAACCTGAAAATCTGTCAGGCATTTCTGATGTTGAGACATCTGAAAGAGGTTCTTTTTCATCGGTGAAACTAACGTATACTGGAAATTTTTCGAAGGCATCACCTACTTCGATGGAGATCGTCGAAGACGTCTTCGCAACTCATTCACCGTCGTCTCCGAAATTAGGCATAGCACCCAACAGTCGGACGCTCCCCACCCATGCTGCCCGCTCTCTGCCTGCACCTACAAATCCTTAGTCATACCGCTCCGATACATAGCAACACCCAACAGCGCATGGCCCTCAAGCTCCCTTGTCGTCTTCAACTTCTTCACCTTTTTGCTTTCGCAAGACACCAACTGGAGGACAACACTATCACACTGATCTTTAGCCCATCGGAACACTGAAACTTTTGACGTGATTTAAGGCAAAACCATGCAGAGGTTATGGGATACACCCACCATCTGGCCGAGATCCATCATGAGCACCTTTTGAACGTCTTTCAGTGAATGCAAGCATTGCAAGTGAAAAATGCATCACTTGTGATTTACCCTCATGCCCGTAAAACTCAATCGGTGGTTATCAGACCATCTGTTGAGCGCAATCAATTTCCTATATTTATTGGGGTTCCTCCTAGTCCCTCACATAAGATCTCCGATGTGGAACTCGAGAAGCTCAAAGCAGCCCAGCCACCGGCTCCGAAACAACTGTCTGCACATTTTAGTATTGTGCTGTCTCGGAGCCTCATTGGAGAATGAACAGCATAGGAACATGGAGAGGCACCAATAATTCTTCCTTGCAGAAAACTCCGAAGACCCAAAACAATCCAAATCTTTGCGAAAATTACTTTTATTTTTTGCCAAAATTACTTATTTTCTGTCAAAAGCGATGAGCAGTAATTGGTAGGGTTCCTATCTGCTGCAGTTGATGCTCTGTCAAGACAAGAACCACTACAAAGGTCTCGAACGTAGACTTCTCATTTTACAGTTGAGTAATTTGTGCTTTTAAGTGTAATAGCATCATTTCTTTAGCTCTTCGACTCTATTATCCAGTACCACGTTCAGGCTCTGGACTTCTGACGTATCTAACTGTAACCTGGTAACCTTGGCCGTTTTCCCGATGCTGTGGCCAGTCGAGATAGTGCGACACTTAATTCGGTGCGGCACAGAGGAGCTGGGAGTGACCCCCGCGGTTTTCTCCACCAATGCTTCTTTCTGAATCGTTCACTAACCGATCACTAGTCGTGCGTCAGGCCAGCAACATCAAGAGAACATGAATAATTTAACTCGGATAGTTCTCAAGGCTGGCTACTGAGCTCCGACCAAGCCTACCTTTAGCCAGTATGTGTTACCCGCCCAAATTCAGTAAATCTACGAGCGCTCCGAACCTCTTTATCGCGCCGTCCATGGGGGGGGACCGTTCACGGCAGTCATGGCAGCCATGCCCGCGTAATGCAATTCTCTTCCAACCACTTTGGCTGACGCGCATTACTGCGCGTTTGAACTATGGTCATTCACGCCGCCAACGAACAATGTTTCCATTCCTGCCTCCTATCTTACTTCTTGAAACCAACGTCCCGCCGTTTGCTGTGCGGGGCCTATTGAATATGGGAGACTCCCCTCCAAGATCACTATGATATCTTATCGGCCTCTTTCACTTTCTTTCTACCCATCACCACTTTTCCTGGCCGAACCACCTTACACCACTTAATCAATGCAGAGATCTTCTATCCTGGTTTTGAAGAAAGTTTAGAATTTTCCGTCGAACACCACATACAGACACACACATGTTGTATATGTCTTGTTACAATGAATATGCAATCCACCACCAACAGACAAACTTAGCGGATTATATACTAATGACCTCCGCTGACCGAGCTTTAGTAGGTTCCACTCTATTCGCGGCCTGAAACTCGGAACATTATTCACACCTATTCAATCAAAAATCACGTATGTACCTACTAGATCTCCGAGACCTTCTCGATGTAGTATCGTAACCCTAGCCAAGATCACTGGATCAGTTGACGACCGCTGTCATGACCCTCTATCATGATGATTAGGATGCACAGTTCACAAAACATATTTTAAAAAAAGGTCGCTCACCGCTCGCAATTGACTAATAGTGACGAGGAACACGTCTTTGTGCCGCCCACCTCGGCCGATATTTGTTTCGCCCAAATTCTAGAGTACAAATACGGGTCTGCGAGCCCCAAAGGCAGCTGGCGGTCCACGGCTGTTCACGGCAGTTTATGGCAGACCGTGACCGCGTAACGCAATTCCCTTTCAATTATTCCAGGTCTTATGACTACAAGATGACCGACGAAACCAGTACGAAGTAAGAAGGGAACAAATGAGAGTCAAGGTGCCGGAAGGACCCGCCATCGCTCGAAGAGACGTACAAGACGCACAAGTCAACACACAAGTGACAAAATGCACAAACATATCATTAAACTTCATGTGTAATG